TTCACTAACTTCCTTGACCTTCCGGCACTGGGAAGATTTCAGCCCTCATACATGGTCTTACGACTTTCTGGAGACCTGTGTTTTTGGTAAACAGTCGCCCGGGCCCGGTCACTGCGACCCCCTTTTTGAGGAGGCAACACTTCTCTCAAAGTTACAGGGCTATTTTGCCGAGTTCCTTAGAGAGAGTTGTCTCGCACCCCTGAAAATTCTCTACCTACACCAAAAAATTACTCGATGCTTAACTTTTTAGTTTTATTTTTCTTAAGAAGTTTCACATATTATGCTTAGATAGTAAATTGAGAAATTCGACGATCCCATTTAAAATTTTATCTTGTTGGTAAATTCTTACGTGGGGGATCTCTATGGCAAGTAATTAATGACTTAGATAGAAAATATGATTGAAAGCTAATCTTATGTTTCTCTTTTTTTTTTTTTTTAATTTACATTTTTTCCCTTTTGAGACTAAGAATTTCTCTTATGTATTTTTATTTCGCATATTTACTTATTCTAACAAAACTCAAGTTATATGCTGACTTTTTTTTTTAATGAAACAATTATCACCATTCTTGTACTGTATGGAGGTGATGAAAAGAATATAATGTGGTCAATTGGATGTTTAATTGGAAACAGAGCAAATGATTGATGGTATAAATGAATATTTTTATGGAAGATCTCATAGATCTTATTTACAAAATTATAGAAATTGGTGAAAACCAATTTAGTTTGAAAAGGTATGGGTGATGTACCACTTAGTTGGAGCATAGTTTAAAATTTCAAATCCAATCTAAACTTCTAACAAATTATAGTTTTGACATTTTTTTTTTTCTTTCAAAATGAGATATTTATATCCATTCAACAATGGTTTGCTATATTAGTGTCTAGGGGTGTCTAAAATGAGTTGCAGGTCAGGTTCGAATCGAACTCGATACTGACCTACTGCTGTTTGACACAATCCAAATCTGACTCGTTTTTGCAAATGGGTCAAAAATTCCAACACATACCCGACCCACCACAAACCCGGGTCAAGCCAACTGGACACGGACGACCCGGTGCGGATCGAGCTTGAGTTGAAGGCGAGTCACGCGTGAGCAGCGCGACCGAGACTCGTGCAACAAGCAGGTGGAGGTGGGACGCGCACGTAACACATGCAAGACTCTCGGGCGGCGGCTGGCAGGATGCCTATGTCACAACCCAACTCGATCAAGACAGGTCCTTAAGAAAATATCTATGGAGCTTGTGAGCTACAAAGTTGATAAAATTAAATATGTTTAAGAACATGAGCCATAATTCAAAATATATTTGTACTTTAGATGTTAGATTGAAAAACTATCAAAAAAAGGCTCAACGATAGCTCATTGGACATACATTAATTAAGAAGAATCTTATCAAAGATAATCCAAATTTAAAGCCAAAGGCGATTATATCAAATGTGAAGAATGATTATGGCATTTGATGTTTATATATGATAGAGTTAATAACATAGACAATGCTTCATCAATCATTTTTTTCTGAATCAAGTCATGGAACTTTCACTTGTCATATCTCAATGAGTATCATGGTGAGTTTTAAAACTAGTACTTAGTATGAGGAATATCACTTGGCTTCGAGGGCTCATATTTCTTTCAACTTAAAATTTATAAAAATTGATGAGAACTAGTATTTTAGAGGTCTTTTATAATATTATCAATAGCGTATGCTTATATCTAGTATAACGCCCCAAAATTAAATTAGGAAGAATTGCCTACTTATCATTTTAATAAATAATATATTGGAGCTTCTATAAATCACCACAGTAATAAATCATCATATACATTAAAATATTATACTATATATTATTCTCCCAAAGTCAATATACAATAATGAAGAGATCAGTACAAACTTACTACTCTATATAATTTAATCAATTATCAATATAAAATTCATATAATTTTTATTTTTGCTTTAAAAATTATAGAAAAATATTAATAAATTGGCTTATTTTATTTAGAAAATACTGATGAAATCAGTTTACAAAATAGACACCTAACGATCTCAAAATCTCCACTTGTACCGATATGTGTTAATTTCTTAATGATTTGTACTAGTACAAAAAAAATACAGAAAAATTATTATAATTAAAATACAATAATATATATCTTATGGAGAAAATTTTTTTCAAATTTGATTTATAATGACTCCTAAAAATTTTATTTATTTGGATCAAAATACAGGCTATTACATCCCGTGACAATTTTGTTAGAATTTTTTAGTCACGTGATATAGACATTATTTTTTGATAGATGCATCATTCCATAGATTGATATATGCAATGGGAATTAAGGAAGTATTAGGGAAGCTCCAAACAAGGCTCAAAGTTTGATTATCTATACAATTAGACAAATTAAACATCATATTATTGATGATAATCTCAATACTAATATTGATTTATGAGAGAGAACATGTATATTCATAATGCTTGATATGTGATGGATTTTTATGTAAATAATTGCTAATTGTAGCTCAAAATTAGGGCATCAAACATGATTAGTATCATATACTGAAAATATATATCTAATAAAAATGTGAACACTTGGGAGATTTTTGATAAATTAAATAGAGTAGTTATGCTACTCTATTGGTGAAGTCAAAAGTGGTTGTCCAAAAGAAATCAAAAGCTTTAAAAACAAAAGAAAGATGCAATGCAATATAGACGTACGTAGTTAACGTGGAGTGAGAGATCATAATTACGTTACTTGTCAGTCTATTTATCCACCACCTTCATAATAACATTTTAATTTTACTCTTATCATTATTATAAGAATATTATAATTTTTTATATTTTAATATGACTCCATAATAATTTCACAGATTGGTCACATAATGCTGTAATATGTGTCATTATGATATGTTATAGCTATCAATCTACACCTAGTGATATATATTATAGCTATTGTGATTTCACTCATATAACAACTTTATATTATACTATTTTAAAATTTATTGGAATGCACTATGTTATATATATATATTCAAATTTTTTTTGACCGTTTCCTCACCTACTTTACTTTATAAATATTAATTATTAGTATTCCCATTTGTTGAAATTAGAAGAATATAACTGAGATTTAAAAAATAAAGTCATAATCAGCTTAACAATTTGTTAATTTAAATGCATGAAATTATAATCAAAAGATCAAGTCCTTATATAAATTCATTGAAATGTTATATGGATTGTTTTATCAAAAAAATAAATAGTAGGGTTGTTTTTGTTATATTCATTTAAAATGTATGTGTTTTAAAGTGCAAAGCAAAATTAACGCTGTATATTTTGATTGTTTTCAACATAATTGTGAAACATTTTAAGAAAATAAAGCTAATTTCATAAACATTGTGACGTCTTTGATTTAAAGGCTCAAATTTCCTTAGAAATTTTAAATTTAAACGTATCCATACAGGGGCCCTTCTAAGATAGATTGATTAAGCTAATAATTTGATTGCAAATCAACTTAAAGTTTTAATTTTAATTTTCTATATTTAGTTAAAAAATTATAAATTATATTATAATTTATAATAAATTCACAAAATAATTAACACTAAGTTTTGAGTGATTATTGATGTTAAATTAAGCTATACAAGCCATTTATATTATACCTTTAGGGTAAAGATGATTGTGTTGGTAGACATTATCCACATGATTGAGGGCCATACTATTTGATTATGGATTAAGATGATTAATTGTGTTGTAACTTAAGAGATTACTTATTGATTATAAGATTAAGGGGAATCAAATCAGGATTTAATTCTGACTATACAATTGCCTTACAAATGTTATGAACATTGAACTCTAAGAATTTAACTTATTCAATCACATAGTTCGGGAAGACGGAGGGTGAATCTATTATATTGTAATGAAAAATGGACATTGTCCTTGAGGCGACGGTGATCAATTAGTGTAAGTGAAATATATATTGGTTGAAAGATAACTTAAGATGAATTGATTGTAGATTTATTAGAATCAATAAATATAATATTTGAACATGATGAGATAAACAAATACGTGTAGTTTGTATCCAAGGGAACATTAGACTACAATAGGCCACATTTAAAAGATCTAGAGTTTTATTACGATCCACTTAGATGAAAGGTCTCATGCTAGGCTTTGTTCAAGTAATGAATTTACTATGCTTTACCTAGACTAAGGCTTCGTTTGAGATGATTTTCTTACTGCTTCTTAAAACAGCTTTTCAGTGATTTTTGTACTCAAAAGCTAGTTTAAGAAACAGTAAGAAAGTCGCCCCCAAACGAAACCTAATTAAGAGGTGAAAAGTATTCTAAATCTTTTTTATTCTAAGTTTTGATAGATGACAAACATAAAAAATGATAATTTTTTATTTTTTTTAGCTTTATCATGAATCTTAGATTACAAATAAAACCTCTCATAACTTAATAGGGAGGTCAACAATAACTTTTAGTTCTAATGAAGATAGTTTTCTTATTTATTGGTAGGATCAACTCAAGGTCTATTTGAAATTGATGGAGCTTTTTGTAAAAGTGGCTTTAGAGTTGTTCTATGGAATGTAATTTTTTAAAAGTTGTTATAAAAAATAGCTTCCTAGCAAAGTAATTTCTTTAAAATAATAAATTTGCGGTAGCCAAATAGAACTTCAACGGTGATATGAAAATTAGAGCAATAAGAGAGTTGTCTCAAACAAACCCTTAATTTCTTTTTCAACCTGAAATTTTGGAAGCATTTAGTTCCCCTATATCACATATTCTTACTCTAGTTAATAAATTTTATTTACATTTTAGATATGATTATAAACACTATAAAATAATATGAATAAATAAATAAAGTAAAATAGATCCAATAATTTATTTTCTTAGATATTAAATTTATAAATATACTTAGTTTGAGTAAGTTAGTTATTAAAATTTTAAAATAAATTAAATTTTATCGCTGCATAATTTTTTGAAAAACTCTAGAAAAGAAGGAAGGCGACGGACGGTACGAAATTCTCCAAAACCTAGATAATACCGCGGGAAAGCCTCCCTTTCTCCCTTTCTGGCTTCTGCTTACTTATTCTTGCAAGCACAGTTGGCTACAAAATGGAAGGAAAATCAAGGGTTTGCATAAGGATCTGATAAATAATCGGCATATAAAGTATCGCCTGCTTTTGTTTTTGTTGCAAGTTCAAATTCTCTTCATGTTGAGGGACTTTTGCTATCTATTTTGGCTTCATTTCAATTAAAGAACTGTTCTTTTTGGCTGTTTTAATGGTGGGAGTTACTTTGGGTTCTTGGAATTTTATGCATTAAAGCTTAGATTGATGTCTATGTTGCTGGCTGCTTGCTTCCTGTTCTTTTGGTGCCTGAATTTGCTTGCTTGAATTCCAGAAGTCTAAGTAGTGTCCTTGCCATCGACCTTTATGTGATTACTAAGAACCTCAAAGTTTCGAAATCTGAAAAGGAGCAGAAGCCCTCCATTTCCCTCTCTGCTTTTGAATGCTACTTAAATCTCTAAATTTCCCTTCTTTTTTTCTTCCCCGCTTATCCGTATTGAGATGCGCTGACAAAAGCTCCCATCTTTATTAATCCATCGGCTTTCCGCTGTTTCTCCTCCAGGGATTTGAATGAATCATCTTTCTCTATTGAATCCCATAACCCACTGCGCCTTCTTGATTCTTGACAAGAAGAACAGTCGCAGAAGTCGCGCCGTCTCTGATAAATCTAGAAAGAAGCAAACGCCCGGAGAAATCCTTAAAGGCAATTCAGAGGAGTACAAAGTTCACTTCTTTGAATCAGCTAATTTCATCCCTGAGCCCGACGAACGTTCCTATGAGTTCATCACTATGTATCCAGCTTATCAATCCTCCAATCAAATTGACCAGCTTCGCTCAAATGAGTATTTCCACCTCAATGAGCCTGAAGCTAAGGTATGCCTTGACTATTGTGGCTTTGGCCTCTTCTCTTACCTCCAAAGCTTCCAACTTCCGGAGTCTTCTGCATTTTGCCTCTCAGCAATCACTTCTAATTTGAGTAACCATGCACTTTATGGCAGTGCTGTAGAAGGAACTGCTGAGAATGATATCAAAACCAGGATAATGGATTATTTGAAAACTCCTGAGAATGAGTACAGCCTTGTATTTACTGCTAGTAGAGGAGCTGCATTTCAATTGCTTGCAGAATATTACCCTTTCAAAACTAACAGGAGGCTGCTTACTATGTTTGATCATGAGAGCCAGTCGGTGAATTGGATGGTTGAGAGAGCAAAGGATAAGGGGGGAAAAGTTTACAGTGCAAAGTTCATGTGGCCAAGCCTGAAAGTATGTAGTTCTGAGATAATTAAGTTGTTATCAAGCAAGAAGAGAAGGAAGAATGGTTCAGCAACTGGGCTTCTTGTCTTCCCGGTTCAATCCCGGGTTAGTGGCGTGAAATATAGTTATAAATGGATGGCTTTGGCAAAGCAGTATGGTTGGCATGTTTTACTTGATGCAGGATCATTGGGTCCCAAGGACATGGAATCGTTTGGGTTGTCCATTTTTAGGCCTGATTTCATTATCACTTCATTTTATAGGGTTTTCGGATCAGATCCAACTGGTTTTGGCTGTCTGCTTATAAAAAAATCTGTTTTGAGTTGTTTGAAGAACCGGAGTAATGAAAGTGTTTTGGGTATTGTGAGGATTTTGTCTGTTTTTCCACAGTATTTGAGCGAGTTTGCTGATGGTGAGGCTGAAGAGGATGGGGTGAATGTGAATGAAGAAACAATGGTAGCTGATACCAACCAAGGTTTACAAATGCCTGTTTTTGCTAGTCTATACATTGCACCTCAGGATAGAGATTTGAAGGAGAATGAGATTGATGGGGATAAAAATTCAGCCACTCATGAGGCCAGCAACATCATTGAAGAAACAGATTCAATTGGGGAGATAATGAAGAGCCCAATCTTCAGTGATGATGAATCATGTGACAGTTCTCTCTGGATTTATTTGGGTCAGAGTCCCTCTGGCTCAGAGAATTCGGTTCAGCATAAAAATGGAAAGCTGGTTTCTCAATTACCAGTTTCTTGGTTTTCTGGGGAAAAGAATCATAAGAGATTGGAAACTAAGGTACTTTTGAATAACAGTCATAATATGTCGGATGATCATGTGCTATCTTTTGATAAATCTGTCTTATCAGTCTCAGAAGATGAAAACCAGATTAAGAAAGATCCAAAAGAATATCCTCATAGCAGTGTGATCCAGGAAGAGATTGTCCAAGAGGCCATAGAGCCGCAGTTTGTCCAGTCTTCTTCTGCTGATGGAGTGAAAGCTAACAGCTCAATATCTGCATTTTCACATCACAAATTCCACGAGAATGATTCAAGATCTGAAATATGCAAGGAAAATGTAGAACAAACATATAAAAGTGCCATAAGAAGAGAAACGGAATTTGAATTCATATTGTTAGATAGGAAAGAAGAAAACCGTTATAAGGTTGACCTAAATGTGGAACCTGGAGTAGCTCTCACTTTGGATGATGACAGACCTTCACAAAGCTTGACTCATTATTTGGATCCTGAAGATGATGTTAGGCAAGATGATAGTGACTATGAAGATGATGAAGAGTTTAAAAGAAAAGAGCCAGAAATAGTATGTAGACACATTGATCACATTAACATGATTGGCATAAATAAAACTGCTCTAAGGATTCAGTATCTGGTTAATTGGCTTGTAGGTTCTTTGTTGCACCTGCGATTGCCGGGTTCTTATGGGGAACATGGAGTGCCTCTTGTTTGCGTCTATGGGCCAAAGATCAATAACAAGAGAGGAGCTACTGTAGCTTTCAATGTCAGGGATAGAAGTGGTGGTTTGATCCACCCTGAAACTGTTCAGAAGCTTGCTGAAAGAAACGGTATCCGTTTGGGTGTAGGTTTTCTTAGCAACATAAGGTTCAGTAGCCATGAAAAGGCAGTTGGTACCTCCCTGTGCAACTTCATCTCAAATGGTTGCCATGAAAGTAAGGATTCTACTTTCAAATTAGAGGTTGTAACAGCATCTCTTGGATTTCTTACAAACTTTGCGGACGTGTACAAGTTGTGGGCTTTCGTCGCAGAGTTCCTCGATCCATCATTTATTGAGATGTCTGATACTTAGAAGCTCGAAGAGGATCGCAGTTCATCATGGCTTTGAAAGAGACTCTTGACCTCATTTTCTTCCTAAACGTATCAACATGAACATTGACTGTGGAGGTTGTTTGCATTTCAATTGATAGATTCAATCAGAATTCTTTTTGTTTATTTGGTACCCCTTTAGTTATCTTATTTTGTGTATTCAGTGCGTATTGTTGGAATTTGTTTATTCTTGGAATAATTTCTAGCTATCCAAAGCCTTGTTGAATTTTGAATTTGCTTATGGATTATCCATTTGTCTGTATGGACTATCAGAATGCTCTTTGTAAAGCAGTGGCCAAGAGGGTAAAAACCCAGTTACACAATCCTGTAATATTTCCATCATTCAGCTTTAAGATTAAAAAAATATTTATTGCATGTCTTTTGATTCTTTTTATGTTGATAATTTGAGTACTAAACTATGATAGCAAGTTATCCTGAAGGGCTGTTTGAAATAGCTGTAATATTTTATGAAGTTGGTGATGAAGTTGTTTTGGGAAAATAATTTTGCAGGTTAGTTACAAAAAACATCTTTGCATCATAATTTTTTTTGAAAAAAAAGTGAGAAAACAGCAAGAAACGGCAACAAAATGAAATTAGTTATTTGAAAAGCAAAGTAACGCGAAAATTGTCTCAAATGGACTCTAATTGTTGAGAGTTATTGAGGTCCTGGTTTCTTTGTTTGTCTCTACTAGGATTGGTTCCTTTAAATGATATGGTTAAACCGTTAAACCAACTTGGCACTGGAAAAAAGTAGCCATGTGGTGCTGTGAGGTTGCCTTCGTATTGATTTTAAAGATTGATGCCTTCTGAAAAACTATTCTGTTTTGTTATCTATTTAGGCTTCATATGGAATGGAGAATAGTTGCTTCAGTATTGCTTCTCATACGTATATCATACCATGACTTCGGTTTCTTTGCTCAATGCATGCTAAACAAATCTTATCTGCATTTGGAGCCCTTTTATAGCTTAGCAGAATAGCCTTGTGGAGCCCTTTTATAGCTTAGCAGAATAGCCTTGTGGAGCAACTCATCTCTGCCATGACTTCAATTCTTAAGTCAATCTAGCACGACGCAGCATAACATAACATATCAAAGGAGACCTGAATGTCATATAACTATAGAAGAGGAGGTTGTGTTGGCTTTTATGAGGTATTTCTCCTATCATTATGTGGATAATCATGAGGCTGCTTTCTTGTATGTTTTATTCTTCTTGTAATGTTAGTCTAGGATTACTGTTCATTTGCAATCATCATTGTGATCGAGGATTGGGGCCTACTGCAAGTCCTTTTATTTTATGACTAGGTAGGGACCAAACATAATCATCATGGTATCAATTGGTTGACGATCGGTCTCGTGCGGTCGCAAAATGATAAAATGTGGTCCAACCACCATCGGTCGACTACACTTTACTAGCCATCATCTCCGAACTATGGTCAACAAATCACCATTACCAAACTATAGTCCTAAGAGAAATGCCACCTAACTATAGCCCTTCAACCATCATCATCCAACTACGATCGTTCGGCCATCATCGTTCGACTATGATCCACCGACACCCCCGACTACAATCCTCTGAATATAGTCCTCCAACCACCATTACCGAACTATGGTCCACTGATCATTATTGTTCAATTATTATCTTCTAATCATCATTGACCAACTACCATTCTTTGATCACTGATGCCTGACTATGGTCCTCCAAACACCATCGCTTGACCATGGTCCTCCAACTATCATATCCTAACTATGATTCTTTAGCCACTATCTTATAATTATGGTCCTCCAATCATCATTGCATGAATATCATTCTCTAATAGTCGTCTCCCGGCTACGGTCTTCGTATCATCATCATCCAATCACAGTCCTTCAACAACTGTCACTCGAATATGGTCCTCAGACTACTGTTTCTCTAATACGGTATCATGACCATCATCACCCAATTACAGTCTCTGGACCAAAGCTGTCTAATTACAATCCTCTGACCAGTATCATTCAACCACCATTGTCAGAATACAATCCTCCATCACCATCGCCTAACTATGATCATTTGTCCACCCTTGCCCAACTACAAACATCTAACCCCGTGTCCTCCTATTATAGTCCTTTATACATTCTCACTTGACTACCTTTTCCCAACTATAGTCATCTGACCACTATCACTTAATTATAATTCTCGAACTTTTATCGCTCGATTATGGTCATCTGATCAGCATTCACTGACTTAAACAAATTAATGTCACCCAACTATGATCTCTTGACCCTCTCTCGGGTATCATCTCTGAACCACCTTACTTAACTATGGTCTTCTAACCACCATTGCCCAACTACAGTTCATTGAACACTATCATCTTACCACTAACACTCGACTATGATCCTCAAAACATTGTCGCACAATTATGACCCTCCACCACCATCACTCAATTATGGCTTTCTAACCATTGTTGCTTGACTATATCATATGATCAATATTATCGGTTTTAAACCTCTAACCACAAATCTCCAATTATGATTATTCAAACATTGTTGCTTGAATACAACCCTCTAACCATCATTGCATGATTATAACCCCTTGCCTAGTGTTACCTAACTACTATTCTCCGACCCTCATCGTGTGACTAGATATTTCTACTACTATCAGCTGACTATGATCCTCTAACCACTATCACTCCACTATGATTTTTTGACCACTATCGCCCGGCTATGATACTACGAACACATTCACCTTGTAATGGTTGCTTCTGCTGTCATGAGATTACTTATAATAATCTAGATTGGACATGGTAATAATTTATATGTTTAATTAGCATTTACAAGATTTTTTGTGCATTTTTTAAATTTTCCCTTTATGGTGTTGCGACACTATGTTGTTGGCATTGTGGCATTGTATTCTCTATTTGGAGGTGCATTGTGGTATGAAGGCTTTAGTTGGTAGCACTGCTGCGCCAAAGTCTTTATTTGAATACTTGAAATTTTGTCTTGGAGTAATATGATACTATGAAAGATGGCATTATGGAGCTAAGTCTATAATATCCAATTTTATTTTCTAAAAAATTGTTCTTCTCATTTTGAAGTAGCCAACTACAGAGAGATATATGGAGAGAATTTAGAGAGAGAAAGTGAGATTTTGAGGTCATAAAGAAATTATTCATATCAAGGTAGGTTATTGTTACCCTACTTTAGATTTTAATTTTGTCGCTTGTGTGGGTATTTTTGATATTTTATTTGGTTGAATTTTATACATACACAAATTTATGGAGATTAAGTAATTTTTAATGTGCAACTTCTAGTATGTGATGGAATAGAATATTATGGTCACATTGACAAGAAAAATATAAATTTTCATTGGGCATTTTTTGGTAGTACAATATTTTAAGCATTTTAATGAGGATGTTAACTTTGATAGAAATGGTCATAAAATAATAATTATTTTAAAGTGATGTTGTGAATATTGCTTATGAATGATTTGCTACTTGCTATTGTTGAATATCTATACAAGTTTACCCCCATGAACATTATTATTTCTATTGTACATGTGACATTTTATGCATGTGTGTATCATGTTAAATGTTATTCATACATATTGAAAATATTGATGTTTATATATTTATATGTTTGAATTGTGTGAAAAGAGGGAGAAAGGAGGGAGTACAAGTGATAGATGTTAATGTTTTATATACAATACAAATGGAGTTATAAGGGCATGTGCACACCTATGATTCCTCCATATATGTGTATGATACATGTGAACATATGTGAGATGAATAAGTTGAGGTATAAGTGAAAGTGGATTTATAAGTGGCTAAGGAAAAAAATATGATCAAATGAAGGTATAAGTGGAAGTAGTGCGGGAAATGTAAAATATGTTTTGAAATAATACGTTGAATATTATTTTCTGTTATATATTTCACTTCCGATATCATGCAAATGCTCATGTTATTATTTCTAATATGTTATTACTATTGTTTGACATGTAATTACGATTGACACTAATTTATATTGATGTAATCTTGTTGGTGATAACAAATGACTCAAATAACTATATTAATATATTTAAAAGTGTGTTTTAATATTCGTACAATGTTCAATGGTTATGCAAATTATTTTAATGTGAATATTGAATTCTTTAGTAAGTTTTGAGTTGCTTACTAAATAAGTGTTGCTCACTTTTATTTCTCGTACATGTTATTTTAGGAAATGGTAAGACCCCACTTGAGTAGAAACTGTTTATAAGGGTTAAAGTCTGGGTCATAGGCATATCGTTAGTACATAGATGAATTCTTTTTACAATTTGATTATTTTATGCATGTTGGTTAGAGAGAGATTGTACTTGGATTATTGTATATTATTATTTTAACTAAATGAATGAATTGAAATGAAATGATTATAAAAATATTATGATTATTATTACTAATGATGTATAAGGCTCTAAGTTGTGAATATTAAGGAAATAAAATAAGAGAAAATTCTTCCAATTATGACTTGAGAAATAGATCACATGTTATGGCCTTGGCATGATGTTGCCTGCTTCAGCGTAGCAAATTATATCAGGTCAAGTAGTGACACATTTGACTATATCCCTCCAATCATCGTCACTCGTCTTCAGTCACTAGACCACTATCAACCAACTACAGTCCTCTGAATATCATTGCCCTATTACAGTCCTATAAGTACCATCTCGCAGTTACGATCCTGCAACTATCATCACCTGACTACGATACTTAAACTACCATCACCTAAATATAAATATCTAACCATGACCATCCAACTACGATCCTTAGGTTATCTTTATTGTTTAATTATGGTCCTCTGACAACTATCATCTAACTATAATCCTTCAATCACAATTATTCAACCACCATCACCTAATTATGATCTCTCGACAATCATCGCCTGAATTTGGTCCTCTGACCACTATCCCCTGATGAGGATCCTTCAACCATAGTTGCCTAAGTACGATTAATTGACCACCACTACCTGAGTACAATCCTCCAACCACCATTGTCTAACTATAACCCTTCTACCATCATCCCCCAACTACGACTCACCATCAACCATCACTTGACTACAATCCTCTGATGTTTGTCGGTTAATTATGATCTTTTAACCACCATTACTCAATCATAATCTCCCAACCTTACCCCACGATAGTCTCTTGACAATTATCACTATATGAACACATGTTGATTTTATCATAACCAACATCAACATATCTCAATGTTTATAAGTTCAATGCACTCCACACACATCAACTGTCAGGGCCCAACCCGATATGATCCACAACTCTATGTCACATCGGTTGGATGATGACAGAATAGAGGCGGAACATAATAGACCAAGATCTTTTATTTGAAAAAATATTAGATTTCTTTTCAGATAACAGACACCATAACTTCTAGTTTTTCTAATGCAAATTTACTCATACAAAAAATATTATAAATTTACCCATCCACGAAATTTTCTTTTTTTATTTATAAACAAAAGCATACAATATTCTTGTTAGAATATTCCCTAACAACAAATAGACACGGGTAGGAAATACAGAAATGGGAGGACTGTTCAAAAATCTAAAATAAAAATATAAAAGGTACTTATACACACTATATAACCCATAAAATTGGCCTAAACTACTCAACTAGCCCTTTTCCCTTGCCTTGACTTGAAAAATGAAATGTATAATACATAATGATAACACAGTTCAACAAATTACATTATCCAAACCATTTCTTAATAATTGCAAAAACCAATACTTCAAATAAAATAGTTATGCTAATCCTAATAACATATTTACTTACAGTAGAGTCTTGTCAGAACAATACAAGGTTTTGCAGATAACTATGTAGGTTACAAAATTTAAAGCGTAGTATACTTAATAGAATGTAAAATATGCTGAGCAGAATATAAATAAACACACATTAATATAGAGCAGAAATTAACATAATCCATCCCTTATGTCTCTCTTTCAGAACTCTTGATCCTTGTGCCTCCCATTCATAACTACATACACTTTTGCCTCCCACTCAAAACTACTCGCCCTTAAGCCTTCCTGTGCTCTCAAGACATTTAGAATTTTCACAACAAAACTCCTCGAATATATAATCAAAACTTCAGAAAAAATTCCCCTCGAACTTCTCAGATTTATATAGAGATGCATAAATGCATAGTTAAATATAAATGAAACTATTCACATAATTTTAGAGATTTATCCTATGGGTAACATTTTAGCAGTCAGACCTAGTATAGTGTAGCTAAAATTTACTGGCTTAGAATTCTACAAAATTATTATATATTGTGCAAAATTATATTTTAGATGTTTAATTATTCTACAATATTATTTTTAAGTGTATGGATATTTTCCTACAGTTTTAGAAAAGCGATATTTCAAAAATACCATGTAAAAAATTTATAGAAAAAAAATACTTAAATGTCTATAACTACGTTCTCTACAACATACCAAAAGTTACCCGTTGAAGGTTTCCTTGTTTAAAATTTATCTTAGTTCAAACACCAAAAGTTTATATTTAAAATCAGAAAAATTTTAAAATTGTAGAATTATAAAAAATTGAGACAGACAAAATGCATCCTATCTAGAGCCAGACAACTTTCAAAACTGGGTTGACATAAAAAAATGACATGCAGGGGTCTTAAATGAACTTTATCTCTCTAAAAAATCTCCTTTCTCTCTCTAAAAGGGTGCCTTGATTTGGTGGAAATGAAATGGTTTAGTGGAAAATGAAAATTTTTATATAAAAATTCAATTAAGTGCCATAGTGCCAAATCGCGTGCGCCACGGCTCTCCCTCTGAGAGCCCACAACATCACAGGGCCACCCTCAGCACTACCACTCTGAATTAATTTCCAAAATTCTAGAAGGCTTAATGCTGTTGTGTCACCTACCTGGCATCTTGACACCCCAAGAATAAAATTTCAGATTTTTAGAACATGCAAACATACCCCTAGAATCACTTCAATGTTGATTCAACATTCACATGCATACAAAATATTCACAGACACATACAAAAGGTTTTTAAATGGAAAATTTCAGTGGATTAACTTAAATCGAATCAAATCAGAACATATGCACTATATCTTGATTCAGTAGGTGTTATATCAACCTTGGCTCCTAACATAAATACCATGATTTTTGCATTGCTTTATAATCTCCATGCTCATCTTGTCAAAGAACAATGATCAAATAAGCAAAAAATAGTCTTTTGAAGATATCCCCCATGCCAAAGACTTCCAACTCCAACATAAAATTCATTTGATATAGTTGATGTCTTCTATATTATGTCAACACCTTTCTTAATTATGGGAAATTATACCATTTATAATAAATGGCATGTATTTAATGTAATCATTTTAACTAGGATAGATCCTGTGTTTTTTTTTTTCATGTAAAAAATTCCTTATTTTTTGCAACTCCTTTTTCATCTATGTTAGAACATTGTCCAAAACTAAGATGTTGAAAAATTCATGTTTACTGTCACAAATGTTCTAGCATGCAATGATATATATACATCTATACATCACTAGAAAATTCATCTAGTCAAGTATGAATCATGATATAATATTTGAGCTGAAAGCTTTTAGAATGGAATTGACAACCACCTAAATTCTAAATTCACCAAACTTATATTTAAAGGATCAATGATCTTTGAATTTTGAGTGCTTATAGTGAAAGTGACTGTCTCAACGATAAAATGTCCAATGAGGTCAAGATTATTAACGAACATAAATACTGAAAGAATTGTCTATGACTATGGAAATTTATGAAGGTCGTTTGATTGTGTGTTTTAAGATTTTGGCTATAATTATCATAACATCACTCTAAAAAATTATAATTAGACCTCCCATAACATACATGAAGGAGTATATATATATATATATATAAAGAGTGAGGAGGGGCACCATAAGAAAATGCTAACTAATAAATTTATTATTTTTAAGAAAAAATAATAATGGAATAAGTATTATTTTATGTTTTAATAGCAACTTATCTCTACAAATAATAGTTGTATGAAGAAGATGTATTATTGGAAGGTAGATATTAGCATATCTCTTGTATTCAAGTTGGAAGATTTATATACATACATACAAGGCCACTTATGGTCAAGTGATAATGAGAGAAAAATTAGTAATATTTATAGCATTTAATACATTATGTGCTATTAATTGTATGTAAATAAGGTAACAATGTAAATATGAATATATCATCATGAAACATAGGTATACATAATGTGAATACAAAGAATCATTATTGATGTGTTTGTTTGGTCGGGTGGACTATAGTTGATGGGCGACGTAAGTCAGAAGGATCGTAGACTGTGGGCGACGGAGGTCGGAAGGACCGTAGTCGGTGGTCGACGTAAGTCGGAAGGATCGTACTCGACGGGCGACGGAGGTCGGAAGGACTGTAGTCGGTGGACAACGTAAGTTAGAGGATCGTAGTCGGCGGGCAACGGAGGTCAGAAGGACTGTAGTCAGTGGGCGACGTAAGTCAGAAGGACCGTAGTCAACAAGCGATGGAGGTCGGAATGACCGTTGTCTGACGACAGAGGTTAGAATGATGGCATCAGGTAGAAGTCCAGCAATGGACAAAAATTTAGCACCAGATAGATGTCTGACGAAAGTTCAATAACAGGCAAAAGTCTAGTGTCGGGTAGAAATCTGGTGATGACCTGAGGTCCGATGTCGGGTAGAAGTCCGACGTCAGTCGATGGCCGGGCAGAACTGTGGCGTTAGATGATATTCGAAAAAAATTCCAGAGTCACTTGGAGATCGGGCGGAGTTCCAGCGTTCCATGAAAGTCGGGTGAGTTCCGGTGTCGGTTGGGTAGAATTCTAACGTCACTTGGGCGTCAGGATGAATTCCTACGGTGGTCGAGGAGGAGTTTCTTCCCTCTTATCCATCTCTTCTTCTTCTTCTCTTCTTCTTTCTTGGGTCCCCTCTCAAGAAAATGAGGGGTCTATTTATAGATTTTAGGAGTGGCATGGCTCGTAAATAGGTGAGAGATTAAGGGCAAAGGTGGAGTGATTCGGATGGACGACCGATATTACATCCCATGATCGTGTACTGTTCGTTAGACATTTGAAGCTCTTAATGATTTTGGAATTTGGTGATCTTGGGTTCGTTAGATTCGTCTCGTCGAGCCGCTCGATTCGACCGGAAGCACGTCATATTTGGAAGCTGTTTAATAACACAAATTGTGATTTGAACGTTCCAACAACGCTTCGAGTCCTTGATTTGGACTCATTTGGGCTCAGATTGAGTCAAATTTGGTGTTGTGGGGGTCGTATTTCCGAGACGCTCAGTTTGACTATAAGTTTACTGAAATTGGAGTTCAGATGATCCCATATTTAATTTTTGAAGTTTCCAACTTGATTTTGCCTCGAGATTCGTGCCCGATCAAGATAAATTTTTTATGATATATCAATTCTAATCAATTTTTTTTTATCAATTGTAATATAAACTTATCTAATTCCTCGTATTATATTTATTTCAAAATAAATCTAATAATTGTAAAACTTATCATAACTAAAATTTCTCCAAACAAAATTACTATACTATTGAATTTAAAAAAAAATGTCACATAAATATTTGATTAGATGGCTTAACTAATTTTCTTAAAATAAAAGTAAATGGCACTCACCAAATTTTAATTGACCTATTGATAATGATAAGGCCCAAATAATTTATCATTTTTTTAGAGTTCCTTACTCTCATATTTAATTTTTGTTGATTTATTTATTTCTTTGAAGAAAAAAAAGAAAAAAAAAATGCTTCACTTAGGTTTGATGGGTAATAAATGAAATATTAAGGGGCCTTATGATTTTCAACCAGGGGTAATTACGTAACATCCTTATAAAGAAGAACCAAAGCATGCGTTGTTGACCTAAATGCCCCCTTTTTTCCATTGCCATCGCCGCTTGTTTCCTCCTCTCTTCTTCTGCGAGTCGAAGCCCTCCGCTTTCCATTCTTTTGCCCCTGCAATTGAACACTCATTCCCATCCAATACCAAAAATAGGAGCTTTCTGCCCTTGGATTGATTCAAATTCCCGACCTTTATAAACCCTCCACCCGCCAAAACCTCCCTCCTCTTTATCTTCGTCTCTGCCTTCAAGCCGATCGAATTCTACCCCTTTTTTTTTCCAGTTTCGAATGGTGAATTCCTGCTTGCTTTTTGTTCGGAGTGGATGTCTCTTATATCCCCCTTCGTAAATCCGCAATCTTGATACGTTCTTCACTTGCCGGATCACTGCGTCGCACTTGGCATTAAGAAAAGGTTTGCTCTTTGGCACTTGGCAGTATAGCTTTTCGATTGTTGTTGATGAGATTTCGTTTCTTGATGGTCTATTCTCTCTGTTCTTATTTGATTACAGCCGTGTTTTGAGCAAATTTTATAGGAGTGTTGTTAATCTATGAATTTGAGCTTAGGGTAAGACAGTGGCTGGTAGCAAAGTTGAGCATATAGGGAAATGAGAATGCTGAAATGAATTAAAAATTGATTATATTAATGATAGTTGGAGATGCATCTATTATAGTTGAAAATAGTTTTTTTTTTTTTTTTTTGCAGCTTTTTAGAAATTTCTATGCTGAAAATTTACTATAGAAAGTAGTAAGAAAACTGTCACAAATGAAGCCTTAGAATAATATGAATAAGATTGTTCAAAAAGACTAGCATGAATAATTTTAATCCAATTGAATTGAATGGAAAATGAGACTTCATAAAGTCATCCTCAAATAATTGAGATAAGACTAGACACAATCTTTGTGATCTTTATTCTTTTCTACACCCCTCTCTAGACACTTCTTCGAGGTTGGTGAGAACCGTTGAGCCATTGGCTTGCCGAGCTTCTCTGATTTGGGTAGATCACCCGCATCACCGAGAGCGACGCTTCTGTGGGATTCAACCCCGTGGAAACAAGACCAAACTCTCTTTGCCGAACCGGGTTGAGTCCCACAGAAATGTTGCTCTCGGTGACTTCTGATTATGATGATGATGATGATGACAATCATGTTCATGATGTGCTGATGTTGTTGAAAGCTTGACTTTCTTCTATGGAACTATGTTGTGGTAATCTGATATTCTTTGTTTTCTGATGTAGAAGTAAACTTGAAATTTTTTATTTAATTTGGTGATTAATCTTTCAGCCAGAGAGTTGGCTATGTGCTCCTACTTTGCTGAAGGAAGCTTTTTGTTTGTTTTAACAGGGTTTGAAGGTAGAAATTCTTTTATTTGAATTGATGATTAATGGCAAAACATGAACTTGTGCTTGGTCAGAACCCGGATTTAGCTCTAGGCCAGAGCCATGACCTTGTCATTGGGCAAAGCCAAGGTTTAGGGATTAGTCACAGGCATGGCCTTGGCCTTGGACATGCTCATGAAGATGATCTTGGTCTAAGTCAGGGACATGAACACAGTCTTGTTTCAGGACATCATCATGATAGTAGGCTTGTTTTGGGTCACCACCATCATGATTCTCATGATGAGGAACACGACCGAGACCATGATTACAGCAGTGAACTTGCTCTTGGGCAGAACCATGTAGCACATCTTCTCACCAGTCATAACCATGAGCTAGTCCTTTCTGACAATCATGATTTGACTCTTGCCGAGACCCATGACCTTGCTGTTGAGCCCAACCTTGAGCAACTTTCGATCGAGCAAGGTCACGAGCTTGCCCTCCAGCCAGCTCTTGACATCTCACAGTCTCAGTTGGTGGTGTCTCCTGTGTTACAGACTCGTATAATCGTGAATGCTAACCATGAGCTCCATGTTGGACAGGAATTCCCTGATGTCAATAGCTGCAGAAGGGCTTTAAGATGTGCAGCCATTGCCTGTCATTTCGAGATACAGACAGTTAAATCTGACAAAACTCGATTCACCGCAAAGTGTGCAGCAGAGGGCTGTCCATGGCGCATTCATGCTGCAAGGCTCCCTGGTGTGCCCACCTTCACAATTAGGACCATCAATGAGAATCACACCTGCATTGGGATCAACCATCTTGGCCATCAGCAGGCTTCTGTTCAGTGGGTTGCAAGTTCTGTCGAGGAGCGCCTTCGTGAAAATCCACAATACAAGCCTAAAGAGATACTGGAAGAGATTCACCGGGTTCATGGAATCACCTTGTCCTACAAGCAGGCATGGAGGGGGAAAGAGCGAATCATGTCTGCCGTTCGAGGATCATTTGAGGAAGGGTACCGTCTTCTTCCTGAATATTGTGAGCAGATTAAAAGAACAAATCCTGGAAGCATTGCATCTGTGTATGGAAACCAAGAAGATAACTGCTTCAAGCGCCTTTTTGTATCATACTATGCTTCAATACATGGTTTTGTGCATGCTTGTCGCCCCTTAATCGGCCTTGATAGGACCCTTCTTAAAAGCAAATATCTTGGTACATTGCTTTTAGCCACTGGATTTGATGGAGATGGTGCACTCTTCCCTCTTGCTTTTGGTATTGTGGATGAGGAAAGTGATGATAACTGGATTTGGTTCTTGTCCGAGCTTCATGCTCTACTTGAGAACAACACAGAGAACATGCCAAGGCTCACAATCTTGTCAGATAGGCAGAAAGGAATTGTTGAAGGAGTGGATTTCAATTTCCCAACTGCCTTCCATGGTTTCTGCATGCATCATCTTAGTGAGAGTTTTCGAAAAGAGTTTCCTCATCATGCAAATCTTGTCAATCTCTTGTGGGAAGCTGCTCATGCTCTTACAGTCATTGATTTCGAAGCCAAGATACTGGAGATTGAAGAAATCTCTCAGGAAGCTGCTTACTGGATCAGAAGGATCCCTCCAAGGCTCTGGGCAACCGCCTATTTTGAGGGAACAAGGTATGGACATCTCACTGCAAATATAGCAGAATCCCTCAACAGTTGGCTCTTAGAAGCATCTGGCCTTCCCATTGTTCAAATGATGGAGTGCATAAGGAGGCAGTTGATGACCTGGTTCAATGAGCGTCGAGAGATGAGCATGCAATGGTCTACCATCTTAGTTTCCTCTGCAGAGAGGCGTGTATCAGAAGCCATTGAAAGAGCACAGGGATACCAAGTTGGCAGAGCAAATGAGGCAGAGTTCGAAGTGGTTTCTGCTCATGAGGGAACCAATATTGTAGACATTCGTAACAGATGTTGTCTTTGTCGTGGATGGCAACTCTATGGTTTGCCTTGCGCTCATGGTGTCTCAGCTCTTCTGTTTTGCAGGCAGAATGTCCATAGATATGCTGAGAGTTGTTTTACTGTGGCAACTTATCGCAAGACTTACTCTCAAACCATCCATCCAATTCCTGATAGAAGCTTATGGAAGGAACTGTTAGAAGGGCCACAAGATCAACTAGATATTATTATAAACCCACCAAAATCCCTCAGGCCACCGGGAAGACCTCGTAAGAAGAGAGTTCGTGCCGAGGACCGTGGTCGTGTGAAGCGAGTTGTTCATTGCAGCAGGTGCAATCAAACAGGTCATTTTCGAACGACATGTTCTGCTCCTCTATGATGAATTTGGAGCTCTTCTTACAGTCCAGATCCTCTGGTTTGTTTTATTTTCATGCCATTATGGGTTTCCTTCTTTACCTGATGCGTTTGAACTTGTAGAGATGCTTATGTGGTATAGCTTTTAAGGTTTGTCACTGCAGCTGCTTCAGGTACATGTCAAATATAGCTATTGTAGAGCATAATTTTATGTATTCATGAGGGGTTTTGAGTGTATGAACTTGGTCTTGGCGTGATTTGTTCTTACTTCATGTGCTCAGCTCTTATAATATTATTAGCCATGTTTGGTTTTGCTTCAACGGTTATTTGTCTGCTACTGTGTTCATTTGAGTTTTCCAGAAAGTTATGATTGAAGTTCCGTTTATTTCTTCATTTTGCTTAACCGTTTCAGATCCAACTCACGTTAATGAATACGGGCTGAACACAAAGATTAAAAAAATTTAGTGAATCAAATTCAAACAAAGCTCCATTCGTTTTCGCACGGCTCATTTACACTAATGAAATCCAAATAGAACCCAACCAAGTCATTTACTAATGTTTTGCATACAATTTTGTGCAAGTTCTTTCATTGTTGTATATTCCTGCGTGAGGAAACTGGAATTCTATATTATTTCTGACTGCCGACCTTCAAATATCTATGCTTTTCTTATGGCTTGTTTTGTTGGGCTTATGCTTTTCATAAAGGGGGTTGGTTGAGAAGATACTATTGAAATGCTTTTGTTGGACCGGTCTAGCCGGTCCACACGGGACCGGCTCAGGCGGACAGAGGCAGAACTCTCCCACCTCTCCTATATGCCGCTAGAAACCGCCGGGTTCAAGGGAGCTTTTTGCGAAGGATTTTTGATAGAGTTAGGAGGGAAATTTGAATGTAGGGATTGTTTAGAGATTTCCTTTTGAATTGTATGCATTAAAGAGTTGGTTTTCGTAGGGTTAGGGAATCTTGAATTTGGTTGAAATTTGAAATCTCATAGATTTTCTTTGGGCTCTAACGGTGTCTAGAGAATTGGGAGAAATCGATCCTCCTCTCGAATAGAGGATCAATTGTATCTTGTTATTTTCTTCCACAGTTTATTTTCTTGCAATAAAATTACTATTCTTCACTGGTTTTCCATTGGAATTGTGGAGATAGCTCGCTGTGTTTGCTCTCTTGATAGGATTTACTTGAAATCTTCAAGTGTTTCCTATCAGTTTTTTTATAATTCTAGTTCAAAAGTCTATTTGAAAAGCAGTTTTTTTGTACAAGCAAACAAGCATTTTCTTTATCAAATGAGAAACATATGAAAAGTGCAATCAAATGAACTCACAGACTTCATTTGGGATAGTGTTTTTTCTACTTTCTACAATAAATTTTTAGAACAAAAATTTCTTCAAAGCAGCAAAAAAGCAATGATAAAAAACTATGCCAAACGAAGTCTTAGTAAAGTTACACTGAAGTTGGAGTGTACTCCTCTCAAGGATCAAAGCAATCTTGATAATAAACAGTTATGGCGCATTGCTCGGTGATTGCATCAATGGCGAAGTCATTCTTGCTGCAGTATCATTTAGATCATGAATCAGCTTTACATTCATCAAGAAGAATGGATGCAGCCAACAAGAATATTGGTTCCATGCAATGCAAGCCTTTTCAATGAAGCCTGTTCAGTCTGTTTTGTGCAGGAAATGATTTCCTTGCTCTGTAATTTATTTTCGTATTGGCACTGTATTAGCATCAATACATAACAAATTTTGCAGGCTTCTGCGAAAGTAATCGTCTTTCTCCTCTTTGACGCATTTCTTCGGCAAATCCGATTGAGACAGAAAAATCGCGTAGGTGAACAGTGCAACGCCAATATTGACGACGCACTATTCACCCGCATGCAAATAGCGGAAGATTTGGAGTTCGGCTGGAACGATCGAAGGACGCCATACGCATGTTTGACGTTCGATTGGAGATGCCCTAACAACTAGTTTTTATTAACACTGGATTCCTTCTTCTGTGAACTTCTGTTTATCCACTTGTTCGCGATTGAGGTGAGTCTCAAGTACATGTTAAGAATCCTGACTGTTAAAATTTAGGCACATCAAATTGTTAAATTTCTGACATTAGTTAATGCAGCAATATTTGCTATAGAATGGAAACTGTATTTGATTTTCTCAACAAATAATGGGCTTAGCTTGATCATGGATCCATATATATGAATGGCATTGATCATATGGGCTCTTGCATTCAGAAGCTGCCATCTTAGATGGAGATGATGACAATGGAACAGGCAAAATCAAGATTAAGGCTTTGTTTGAGACGGCTTTTTTAATGCTTTCTAATGAAAATAATGATATGTTGCATTTCACAAAAAAATTTCTTGATGTATTCTTAACTGATGCAATAGTCTTCATTTAATATGCTAGCAATTTTATTGACATGATCCTCGATTGTTAATATGCAAATAATTTTTATTAACATATTATAATGTCAAGTAAATTTGGCTATTTTATCTAGGTCTTTAAACATATCCAATCAAAACTCTCCCAAATCAATTGGCTCAAACTTCCCTGGGCTACCCAATATCAAATTGATGTGATCTCTTGGCCTCTTAGATAAGAAAAATTACTCGTGCGGACCTTGAACGGCGTCCGGAGATCAACTAGAATGCGCCCATGACTCTCTTCTTATGATCTATTCTTCTTTAAACACTATCAATCCCATCGACGCCTTCTCCAGTGAACTCCTCTCATGACTTCCCCGCTGATCTCTTCAATGCCTTCTCCGGTGAGCTCTATCGTGAATTTTTGCAATTGTTAAGGCACTCCCCAACAAGCTCTTGTCACCGACTTTGATACCACCTTCCTCAAGTTCCCATCATGATCTAGTCATTTCTTCTATATGGCTCATGCGCCATTGTTGCTTCTCTCATCACGACTTCCTTCTTCCATTTTGGCTCGAGATCATGAGTTGAGCTCTAGTCTGCTATTATTTTGGTAACTTGAGCTCAAGCTTGAGTTCGAGCTTATCATTAGATAGGCAAGCTAAACTCAAGTTAGTCATGACTCAAGCTTGACCTAACACATTCACTCCCCTACATGGAGTTGTACTCTTGGCATTTCAACTTTTTTATTTCTTAGTTAATTTTTTTTTTTTTAGGATCTACATTTTTACTCCCAAAATTGATGTAATAAATACCCAAGCACGAAAGGGTAAAAGAAGTAACTCCTATTTTTATAATAGTTTCTTTAACCTATTTCTTTGATGAATAGCAAGCAAAACCCCTTCAAATGTTAGGCTAGAGGCCTTAAGGCAACTCCAATGAAACAACAAACACTTGTTGGTATTTGTCGTTCTTGTTTTGCTTCAACTGACCGTCATTTTTTACGCCATTTGATATGAGATGAACAGTGTGTGGCATTGCATTGTTCATCTTCGCCATTTTTTTGGTATCTACCGAACTTGCCGAAGAAACGCTCAAATGACCGTTACGGGTAAAATGACGTTCTATTGGAGATGAATCACGGCATTTTGGAGTGAAAAATGAGATTTTACATTAACCACAGATAAATGATTTTTTTTTTTTTCATGAAAATGAGAAGGATAAAGAAAAAACATAAGAAATTCACACAAATTGCTCTTACAGTGATTTAAACGAAACCAGGCCCAGGCTTCCAGCAGTAGCACAGCAAGTATGATATCAAATGCAATTATATTATATATTTAAAGGTCAAAATAATCCATGGATTATTTATGGGGCACAATTTAGGCTTCTTTTGGGATGACTTTCTTACTGCTTTCTAAAGTAAATTTTAAGTTCAAAATTTTGTTGAACTAAAAATTTTGATTTAGAAAGCAGTAAGTAAAACGTCCCAAACAAAATCTAGTAAGTTCAATTTAATCTCTTTAACTCTTCAAATTTAATTCAAAATAGTCTTTTTCATCAAATCTAATTCAAAATAATCCAAAAAAAAAAGACTTCTGAACTATATTTGAGAATCAATCAACTAAGTTAAAAAAATTAAGGCTAATTTCATTTGGGACGGATTTCTTCCTGCTTTTTAAAGCAACTTTTTACTACCAAAATTAAATTTTTTGTATTAGAAAATTGCTTTAAGAATCAGTAAAAAAGCCATCCCAAATGAAGACTAAATAATTAAGACTAAGGCTTCCTTTGGCACAACTTTCTTACTGCTTTCTAAAGCAGACATTTATTTTTGAAAAACTAAAAAATTGCTTTATAAAGCAATACGAAAGCTGTCCCAAACGAAACCTAAAATGGCCCCATATAAATAGTCCAAAGATCATTTTGATCTTTTTTTTTTCCTCATTTCAGCATCAACATTGGAAGTTCACTGACTTGATTATAAGATCTGCCTTATGCTTAGATTTTATAATGAGTTCTGCATTTGGGCGGTCATTGTAATCAACCTAAGTTTTTGACATTGAAAAGAATGAAAAACATTATGAGAAAAATTGAAGGAAACCATAATATACTTCAAAAAGATAAAATAGAGCAAAATTAATAATCACATTCAAAACACTTTGAATGAAGATCAACACCATCACCATCTTTGATAATCAAATTTGGTGTTTAAAAAGAAACTATATAGAAGAGTAAAATCAACAAAAATAAAATGCTAAGACTAGAAGAATGCCAAGTGATTAAGGACTAATACCTTTTTAATAAAATGCTAAGACTAGAAGAATGCCAAGTGATTAAGGACCATTTCAATCATTTACTCTATATAAAAATTATGAAGAGGGTAATCAAGGAAAACTAAAAAACATTGTATCAGAGTAAATAAATCAAATTGAATTTATACTATAACTATATCTAATAAGTTAACTATTTTATATAGGTTTAAGAGAAAGTTAGATCAACATAGGATCTTCCAATGATTTTCTTGATCTTGAGGTAAATAATAGAGAGCAAAGAACAGAACAAGAGTGAAACCAATTTAATTTTGCGCCAAAAAATTTGCTAATAAGAAGATTATTGTGCTCAGGAATTAAAAAAAAAGTTAGATTAACAATAGGATCCTTCAATGATTTTTATTAATTATTGATATGCATATGATAGAGGCTATGTTATTAACAAATGAAATAAATTTAAACGGAAGACCTCCTTGAATTAATTGCTAAGCTAGAAGATGGTATGCAGTTAGAAGATAAGAGAAAAAGATTTAGTGGAATAAAGATTAAGTATATAATAGGCACTTCAGTGAATATGAGATTAACAAAGTCATATCTATTTATCATACATTCAAGTACCATAGATAAATTATAATAAAATGAATTATGGAGAATGACATATAGACTAAGGCTTCGTTTGGGACAACTTTTTTACCGCAGTTTAAAGCAGGTTTCTAATATAAAAATTTAAATTTTTTTACTAAAAAACCGTTTTAAAAAACAGTAAGAAAGCTGTCCCAAACGAAGCCTAAAACTCGAAAGGCAACACAGAGTCATCTCTTAGAAGTACTATGCAATAAGAGAATATCACAAAAAGCTAAAAGTAGAATTTATGAAGTTGTAATAAGAGTGGTTATTTTATATGAATTCAAATATTGGCCAACAAGTCAATGGCAACCGAATGAAAAAATGATGACATTAATATGAATATAAGATAGAAATAGGAGGAATGGTGAGAAAAATAGTTATATTAGAAAGCCTAAAGAAATATAATTTATTGAAGAGAAGATGCAATCAATTAGATGTGAGTTATTTCAGAATGCAAAACAAAGAGTAGAAGGTACACTAACAAAATGAAGAGAAAAAAAAAAGTGAAAGAAATAAGAACGTTAAACATTGCTAGAATTTGAAATTTCTAAACAGAAGTTGCGCCTCAAATAGTAGCTAACAACATTGAATGGAGAAGATTCCATAAAGCAAGCACTAGATAGTAAGATAGAGCTAATGGTGTCAATCATCCTCAGGAATGAGGTGTTAGTGAAATTGTGTTTCTCTCAATGAATCAGCTTTACAAACCATTTTTTTTTTTTAATGTTGAAGGTGCTATTGAAGAGGATACTGTGCCATGATGATGATGATCATAGTGTCAAGTGTATTAGGTCCCATTAGTCATATATCTAAGCTTTCATAATTTGTTTAACTATTTTGAGGGTTATATGCTCCTCTTTGGATTATTATCATTTTGTATGGATGACACAATATTATATAAGTAAATTACGTGAATTGATTAATGTTAATGTAGGTGTTGTTAAAAATTGAATACACTTGATGAAATATTGAAATTTAATTGTAAATAAATGTTAATTTTTCTTTTATTTATCTTTAAGATTAGTCTTGTGATACATAGGAAGTTGCACTTCATTGTATGGAATTTTTTAATAGAAAATATTGATATTTAATATTTTGACTACATGTTTTATATTAATCATTAAAAAATTAAAAAAACATCAAGTCCATGATTTCTTAGTTAGCGTTTGTGCTTCATTTCAAAAAGAAAACAGCAGCCAGCAAAATTAATTTATTAGCTGACTTAGGTATGCTGGATCTTTTAAAAGAGACATTAGAGAAAGAAGATATGCTTTCAATCCATTCGATGATAGTTGAGCTTCCAAAAAGCTAAGAAGGCTAGGGTTTAGGGTGACACTAACATAAGTGTAAGTGTACATATTTTTATTATGTTCTCAAGTTCCAGCTCTTATATGACTAAAACGAAGAACAGAGAAGAAGAAAGGAAATCATACCCTCCATTTTGCCACACCAGGCTCTTTTCCTGCCAATTTTATCGAAACAATTAGATCAGAGCCAAACTTAGCTATCGGATGCTATGTTAGGTATACTACCTGTAGCAATATGTCTCTTTAAAACTCTTTCCATAGAAGAATCAAGATCAATGTCAATAAACCTGTAAACAGTTAAGCAGATAATGCTCTTTACCTTCACCGAATGCAAATACAGATATAGAACATATTTATAAATGAGGGATAAAGAGAAATACCATTTCTCATCAAATATGGAGCATATATCTTTCCAGACCCCTTCTTCTAGGAATAAATAATTTCCTTCAACAATCACTATTTTATGCCTGCCACATAAGAGGAAGAATCACAACAAAATGATGGTCTAATAATTCAAAGAATCGCGAAATGCAGATTTCTATCTGGCATAAACAGCTATATCTCTTTGCAAAGCTAAAATGTTCAAAAGATTTGAAAAGGCGACTACTGAAGATCTGAAACAGCTAGTTTCACATCAGACTAATAAAATAAATCAGATCTTAATAAAAGTAAACAGTTCTGTAATTCATTATTTAGCTTCCTCTTATAACGAACTATGTACCATAATTTCTGCGCTTAAAAACCAAAATATTTGTACTGCAGCATAGAGTTCAATCTCCAAACTTGATTCAATAGCAAAGAAAGAAGTTTTTGTTGGTGTTAGTAAAGACAGATAGCTTATATCTTAATGAATATATCACTTACAAAAGCACATAATTGCTGAAATGAAGTTTAGTTAGAACAAGATGCACCTTGATACAAAAACAGCAAACCAAAGCAGGAAATTCACAGAAAACAAGGAAAAAACAGCATATTTAGGGGGAATAGTGGCTGATTTTTATTAATAACACGACAAAAAACAAAAGATACAATCGATCTACAATAAGAGAGGTAAATCGTCTCTCCCACTAATCCTAGACGCCGCTAGAAAGCCCTCACAAAAGAAAAATATAGCAACACAACTCAAATTCTGTATAAAACAAACTAACCCTAAACTTCCCCTTAAATAAGCTCTCCCACCTCCTAGCCCCCTTTCCTAATATATTTCCCTCCTAATTCAATCTTCCTGCCTTAATTAATTCCCTCCCTTATTTGAATTTAAATTAGAAATTTCATTTCCTAATTAATCTCCTCCTAACATAAGTAATTAGATCATTGCTAGATCCTACCAAATCAGCCGTTGGGGCTATTGCCTCTGCCTCCGTATTAATCCCCCCCCCCCCCCCCCCCACCCCATCTGCCCCCCGCCCCCCTGCCCCCCCCCCCCCCCCCCCCCAAACCAAACAAAAAAAGTAACACCTTGTACTCAAGGCAGAAGGTTGGGGAATTGCCTCCTGATTGTCTCAAATGGTCCCATGAGGCGTTGTGCTCAGGCAGATCCTTCCACTTGATTAACACCTCTTGTACTTTTGCACCTCCACCACACACACCCGTTACCTCTAGCGGTTCCAATATGACATGCATATCTTCTGTCAATGTCGGTGATAGAGTTGATGGTGTGTGTTCTCCAATTTCCTTCCTCAATTGGGAGACATAAAAGACTGGGTGTAACGCTGATGTGGGTGGTAACCCCAATCAATAGGCTACTACCTCAATGCTCTCCAAGACCTCATAAAGCCCAAAGTAATGCGAGGATAATTTTTCATTCTTCCTCCTTGCTAGTGTTTTCTATCATAATGGTCTCAATTTTAAGTAAATCATCTCTTCTAGCTTGAAGTTTACTTTTCTTTTGTGCTCATCAGCCTTCCTTTTCATGATATGTTGGACTCTCAACAAATGTCCCTTGAGCTCATATAATATCTTGTCCCTAGTATTGTTCTACATCGAATATTGGTGTAGTGTTCTACTTATAATGAATCAAGTGAGGTGGATCTCTCCCATAGAGAATCCTAAAGGGAGTGGTCTTTGTTGCTAAATGGTATGAGGTGTTGTACCAATCCTCGACCCACACAATCCACCTTGCCCACTTCTTCGGCATGTCTGATGCGAAGCATCTCATATAGGTTTCTACGCTTCTATTGGCCACCTCTGTCTGGCCATGTCTAGGGGTGGTAGGCAGTGCTTTTCTTCAAGACTGTCTCCTATAAACGAAATAACTCTTTACATAAGTGGCTAAGGAACACCTTGCCCCTATTTGACACAATAGCTTCAGGGAATCCATGCAAGCGTATCACTTCTTGTATGAAAATAGTAGCCATAGTAACCGCAGTATAAGGGTGCGGTTGCTTCAGAGGGATGAAGTGAGCATATTTTCTTAGCAATCCACTACTACTAATATCATTGAGAAGCCTCTGACCGTGGCAACCCCTAAATGAAATCCATCGTCACCTCCTCCCATACCCTCGCTAGTAGAGCAAGGGGTTGTAGTACTCCTATCGATGTCATGGCTAAGTACTTGTGTCTTTGACATACATCACATCGAGCTACCCAATCCTTTACATCGCAGTGCATCCCCATACAACAAAGTTCTGCACATAATCGGCAGTAGATTTTCTGAACTTTGGAATGCCCTCGAACTGTATTGCCATGGAACTCCTGCAACTTGGGGATGTATCTTGATATGCTTGGTAGAACAATTCTCCCTTGGTGTATCAGTTGGGCTCCCCTTAGTGTGTAACTAGGGTGACTAATCAGGTCATGCAGTAAATCGGCTCTGATCTTCTTCAATCCTTCATCCTGTTCATTCTCCTATTTTAAAGCTTCGCAATCTAGGCACATGGGTACTGACAATGCTGTCAACAGAGGCTACTCCACTCTCCTAGACAAGGCATCTACTTCCTTGTTTTCTAGGCCAAGTCGGTAGTGTATCTTGAAATAATATCCCAGCAACTTGGATAATCACTGCTAATGCTCCTCTGTGACCATCCGTTGCTCCAATAAATACTTAAGGCTCCTTTGATCTTTCCTACTTAGCTTACATTGTTTGGTGTTGTTTATGTGTTATTGAAAGGAAGTGTCTTAGTTTGTATTCCTAGTATTCTCCTATTTGATTTTAGAATCTAGCTTGCATCAAAAACCAAAAAAACAGGAAGGCTGGACAGCAGCATGCGGCAACAGTAGAAATAAAGAATGGTGGTTATATATGGCACATTAATCAGCAAGTGCAGTCAGTTTAATTACAAAACAGAGGACCGACTTTAGTGTCAGCTTTCAATAAACAGGGGATCAAAACCCATTACAAACCATAATCAGCTGCAAGTATATGACTGTATCCTTGCCATAATCAGCTGCAAGTATATGGCTGTATCCTTGCTATGGGGCAGATAGCTGATATGGAATAAACTCCAAAAAAATTCAACCAAGGTACAGACCAAAGCTATAGTGTTGAATGGTTTTTTGGAAAACTGAAAATTTGAAAAGTTGAAATAAGAAATTTATACGTTGAACTTAAACATTTGCAATGATAACCCAGGCTAAACAACATAATAAAAATACTAGAGAATACATCCTCATCTCATAGACACTATCATCATAAACATGTTAGTATGTTACATGAATACCAAATAAAAAAAATAAAAATATATATAGACAAATAAAACAATATGAACACAAATGATTTGTGTTCCCAATGATTAAAGGCTTCCACATTTGCAACATTCTTATCCAGCTTCGAAAAATTTGGCTCTGAAAATATTAAGTTGATATTTGTCACACAAATCAAGGCAAAATTGCAGTGCTTACTGCAAGGTAATTCATGCATCTATGAAAAATAAATATATAATCCCAAAGCACAAAATACCCATGATATTCACAATCAAAAGTGTACACAATATGTGCGTGCATTAGTAGATCTTTCTGGTAAAATGTTAGATATAAATTTGCTCAGGGGTTATGGAAAGAGAAAATTCATGGCATTAGTAGCATATTCATGAAACAAAATCATTATGTTATAGCATTTAGGTTGCAAGAGGTAACTACAGCAAATGATCATCATTTTTTATGATATAAATTAAAATATTATTGAAGTAAATAACCAAAACAGACTTTCCAATAAAAGGTCATAAGATAATATTAATCATCCTCATTAAAATGTTATATGGTTGGTTACTTAAAGATATCACCAACCATTCAAATAATTGATCTTTAATTTTAAAAGCAAATTTTCATTCATCGCTCTCTCTAATTCGAATATGAAGATAGTTATTTCTCAAAATAAATCTTAGAAAACATCATAGCATCATTCAAACTAGAAATAGGAATTAGCCATTCAAACAACCCCCACCACGACACAAAAGCCTAAACCATATAATGCCAAGTCCACCGCCCAAGAAAAAATCAGATAATGCAAAGGCCACCTCCCAATATATTGTCACATCATATCACTTATTGATTAAACTTACAGAAGAATGGTTAACTGCCCCTTCCTGATTTAATTTACAGGACAATTACTTCAAATATTGTATTACTTTATCGCATAATCTACATCAAGCAAGTCACTTACAGAGGGCCAATGAAGATATCATTTTCCACTGGATCACCAACACCATGATCGAATGAAGGAGCATACACTGATCCCTGATAAATTTATGCATAGCTTCAGTATCATTAAAAGACATCTTTCCAATCTACTTAATGGTTGTAACTTTCAGCAAAGACAATGTATGTTTGATGTTAATAATATATGCACATAAATTCATTCTAATCAATCAGCAAATTGTAGATACAAAAAATTGAAAAATCAATATGCAGACCTTACTCCTCAAAGAGTAAAGGCATTTCAGGAGGAGATCTGGATTGAATGTCCAAGGTGCTGATTTGTCCAATTATAACATGATAAGTGCTTGGGCCTTTACTTAAATTCCTGAATCAAGATGAAGTGTCTACTCACCTCCTCTTCTTGCATGTGCTTCCTCTGGATCCTATAAATTATAATATGACTAAACATATGGAAAACACAATTAGATCAACCAGAAGAATGAGAGGCAACCTCCATAGCATCCAGTTGGGATCTATAAAGATGGAATCCATCCATTGGAAGAACTGCGGCTATTGAATCATTTCGCACAGCAAAGTCTGTAACTGCATCTTTATTGCATGAAATGATGTTCAGGCGTTGAACAACTTCAGCAGCTAAAGTGCTCTTGCCAGCACCAGGAGGGCCAGCCAAACCAATGATGTACCTAAGGATGATCAAGGAGAAAATAAGGATATCATGTGAACACCTCACATAAGTTGATGCTAGTCTACCATGGACTAGAAATACAGAACAGTCTGCAACTAGTGAGTGACACTGAAAAAATGAAGATGAGAAAATAAGCATGAGCATCACAAAAAATCAAAATATTTCAAGATCATGACCTTCTAAAAAAAGGTTTGATCATGATTCCAATGACTTGAAATCCTTTTAGAACTTAGTAGTTTCAAGCCTCAAAGCATTCCATTGTTTCTATCATTTCATCTAAATCCTATCAAGGCTCGGTTTAATCCATAGTTTAAAACTATGCAATCCAAGATGAACCATGACTTTCACCTCAAATCAAGGCACTCAAAAAAAGACTTGAAGTGTAAGTTTTGCATGGAGCAATTGATACGTACACCTCAGTTGGGTGAGGCAAACCTTAAAAAAAAATTTGAAGAGGTGTATGCTTCAATTTGTGCTAGGCTTTTCTAATATGACTAAACTCAATTGCCCATATGATTCAAGCCTAAATCTATTTAATTAACGGGAAAAAAATCCTAAATCAGTGAATTGAGAACCTCATGACCACTAGGAGCTACACACTGCATGCCTGGAGAATCCCACACACAAGGCTATGAAAGAATTTAACTACAAGTCTACAATGATGATTTTAATGAAGTCCCTCTAAGTGATGAGAGTAGGCAAGATGTCCAAATTCATAAATTATGATGTTCCACTTATTGTTCATATTAAATTGAAAGTGAAAAAAACTTATTTATTTTCGACTTTTTGTTTATATTTCCAAGTTTATCTCATACTTCACACTTATTATTTAGTGCTTGTAACCTTGCATGATGTTTTTATGCTGTGAATTTTCACTTTTTATAATCTTCTTCGATGTTTTATGATACTTATTATTTTATTATTTATCTTATATTAATGGTTTAATTTTGAGGGTTATACCTCAAAATACCTTGAGCCTAAGCTATGCGTGTGCACTAGAGGCATGAGCTCCATATTAAATCTATTCAGAGAAATCCAAATGAAAAAAACATTCAATTTCACTTGGCAGTTTCTTTTCTAATGAATTATTTTCATTGTTCATAGTAAGGATTCAGTGACTTCAACTGGCTTTAACAGATTTTTTCTATAGTTTTTTTTATTGTAAAGAGGTCTCAGAAGGTTAAGTACAAAAGTTCTTGATAGAAGCTTTATGTTTGCTAAGGCTAATAATAAGAAAGCTAAAAATACTTGCCAATAATTTATGTCATCCTCTTGACAAACTAGTGAATTCCAATCATCTGAAAAAGTGAAGGAATTGGATTCACTACAGGGAATATAAAGAGACAACTGTTCTGCCAATTAATCTCATGCAAGGCCACAACGTATAGAAGGAATGCATAAAGAAGGCCTTTGTGAAGTCATATTAGTAACTATGGAGACAGATATGTATTCAATATGTAACTATTAGTAATATACCGACTTAGAACAAAATGATAACAGTTTAGGCATCTATAATAGGCTAATAGCTTCCGTACGCAGTAATGTATATATCCATTAGAATGCTCAAGAAAAAATTTGGGTCAACAACAGATCTAAATGGCAATGGAATGGCATACTTTTTATTGAAATGATTCACAGTTGTCGTGATGGAAAGTGCACGTTCAACTAGATCATCATATATCTCTTCAATAGACCTGGTAAGGAAGTAAGGAAAGAACAATTTTGATTTAGTTTTAATTAAACTGCATAAAGAAAAAGAAAAAGAAACCTTTCAGGTGGATAAAATAGATACAGCAGCAATGTCAAATATCAGTAATGTCCAAAAAACTTCTTGAAATACATTCCACTTCAGGTTGATACAAAGACAAGTGCAACTTCTTATAATTAAAATAAACTTTATAGTAGAATACCTTGCTTCCAAAATAGGAATATCTTGTTTACTATAAGATGCAACCTAGAAAAGGAAACGTTATTTAATAAGTAAATTGAACAGTTATATAAAAAATTAAGAGAAATCAAAAGGATGCAGAAAATAAAAATGCACCTTTTGGCAGCTATGCCTTATTCCAAGATACCTTCCCTGCCACCACAAGAATTTTGCAGACTTTTTGCTTGGAAAGAATAAACATGGAGGATATTGCCAACTTACATGTTGTTTGCCTCCACATCCGAGCAGCTTTACTAGTCCCAAACATGAAATTGAAACCAATCAAAATGGGGAAAAGTTGCTAAGCCTAAGGTTTATGATTAATAGGGGTAAAAGCAAGCATTTAAAGAATTAACACTCAACATAAAAAGGAATTTTAACGTTTTATACAATCTAGAAACTGAATGTTAGATATTGAACATAAAACAGTTCAATCTTAATATAAAACGTCATGACCACTATAAATAAAAGTAATCATTATTTATGTGGTATTTTAATAGTAATGTGATACAAAGAACCAATACACACTTACCTACAGATATCCAAAAGTACATTTGGGGCTCATTTGGTTGCCTTTGCATGTTTTTGAAAGTTAGTATTTTGTTTACGCTCTTTTCAAATGTAAAATAGAAATCCTCACTTTTGAAGGAGCTTTGAAGAGGTCCAACAAGATTTACCAAATGATGGATTCAATAAACTTCATCATTTTTCAAGATATGATTTTTAATTTCACAACCAAATGAGCCCATGAAGGAATAAACTACATGATGAATATCTTTCAAGCAAATAGGAATCTTTAAAGGTTTAACCCAAATAACAGAAGTTGAGTAAAAAAGTAAGACCTTACATAAGGATAGAAAGAAGTCAAAAATTCAACTTTTGTACAAGAATCAGAATGAGATTACTTACAAGTTACAAAGCTTTAAAAAAAATCACATTTTTAAACAGAAATAAAACGACAAAGCTTCAAAAGGCATGTTAACAAGACAGGCCATGTAAATGCTTATGAAATATCATGTTCTTTCGTTACAAATTAGGCTATAATCCAGCTTCGAAATAGCTATGACAGATACATTACAGATAGCTGCACATGCATGTACCGAACAATAAATCTCAATTAATGGAAGACGCCATAAATCAAACTTGGCAGATTTCTCAAGTATCAACGAATAAAATAAATAGAAGTTTTCAAGCCTTCAAATCAAGATTGAGGCAGAGAATCTGGTACCCTGATAGGAGACCGAGAGCTCCATCGTCGACTAGATTACAACAGGAAAGTAAAGGGAAGAGGTGAGGGAGATGAGACCATAGGAATCAAGGGTACTCTTAAGGAGTGTCAAAATGTATTCTGGATTATTTCAGAAATCGGCCGACCGGCGGGCCTAACAAGTACTCGGGGAATTGCGGTCGGCATACAATTATTTACTTTTTTTTATTCAAAAAAATTATTTACAACTTTTAATGCTCTATTCACTCCTTAGGGGTTATTTACCTTATTTCTCTCCAAAAAAAAAAAAAATATTTTGAAATTATTTAAACGAGTATAAAAAAAATTCATGCCTTTACTTCTTCTTTTTTTTTAAGTAAAGTGAATACATTGTATATTATAAAAATATTGTGTTTGGGGTGGTTGGCAGTGGTCGGTAGCCGCCAGCCAATGTTGTTGGGAGGGTGGTGATGGTGGTAGCAACAATAGGGCGACGACGACGATGGTGACTGGCCAGCACTGGCAAAGGTGGTGGCCTCTTGTGGTGGTAATCGATGGTAGCGGCAATGCGGCCGGTGATGGGCGGTGGTGGTCGGCCGGTTGTGGGCAATGGTTGGTGGGCATGGTCGGCGAGGACGGTGGTGACCAGTAGTGGGGTGGTAGTGGAGACGGCAATGCTCAAACAAGCTTTGGAGTAGTATAAATGGTTCTCATTCAAAATTTGGCGAGAACGATTTATCTCAAAAAATAGATAAAAATGTGATACATTACATTTCGTTTTTCTTTGCCTTTGATATATCATCAAAAAATTATCTTGATCGGGAACGAATCTTGATGCATAATAAAGTTGAAAACTTCAAAAATTATTTCAGATATCATCTCAACTCTAATTTCAGCAAACTTATAGTCAAACTGAACGTCTCGGAAATACAAACCCAACGACACCAAATTCAACTCAATCCAAGCCCAAATGGGTCCAAATCAATTACTCGAAGCACTGTTAAAAGGTTCAAACCACAATATGGATTAACAAACGATTTTCACATGTGACATGCTTATAGTCGAATCGAGCAGTTTGACAAGACAAATCCAACGAGCCTAAGATCGTCAAATTCTGATATCATTAGAGCCTTCAAATGCTCGATAAACGATCGACAATCAAGAGATTCAACATCAGTTGTCCTTTCAAACCACTCCCGATCTTTCTCTTATTTACTGGTCATGTCATTCTCAGAAAATTATAAATAGTCTCTCATTTCTCTCAAGAGGGGATCGAAGGAAGAAGAAGAAGAAGAAGAAGAAGAGAAAAGAATAATAGGAGGGAAGAAACTCCTCATCAACCATCGTCGGAGTTCCGCCCGACTTTCAAGTGACGCCGGAGTTTCGCCCGACTTTCAAGTGACGCCGGAGTTTCGCCCGACTTTCAAGTGACGCCGGAGTTTCGCCCGACTTTCAAGTGACGCCGGAGTTTCGCCCGACTTTCAAGTGACGCCGGAGTTTCGCCCGACTTTCAAGTGACGCCGGA